ATTCTAATGAGAAACAGGATACTTAGATGTCTCAAAATATCTTTCTACGAAATACTTATTATTAATAAGTATAATACTTAACTTCACAGTGAAAAAACTTGGCAGACACCATCTTAACCAATTGGTAAAAGTTAACATCACTAGTTATGGGATAAATAGACATCACGTGCCTTCTGATATCCGTGGTATTCCTGCCCAAAATGCATAAATCATGAAGTAGTATCAGACAGACCCAAACTGAAGGACATTCTACAAAGTAATCTGTAAATTTCAAAAAAAAAAAAAAAATGTGAAGGTCAGAAGAAATAAGACTGAGGAACTGATTCCAATTGAAGGACATTAAAAAGACATGATAGTCACCATATGCAATGCTTGATCTTGGACTGGATTCTGGACTATAAACTACATTATTAGAACAATTAGAGAAATTTGAAGTTTGGGGATTAGACAGAGACATTGTATGTATACACATGTTAATTTACCAATTTTGATGGTTGTACTACAGTTATGAGGAGAATATGCCTTGGTTTTAGGAAATATATGCTTAAGTATTTTAAGAGTTATGGGGCATCATGTTTGCAACTTATTCATAAATGGTTTAGAAAAAAATTGTAAAAGTCTGGGATGTATGTATATACACACACACACACACACACACATACAGAGAGAGGAATACTGATAAAGCGACCAGTAAAAAGCTAGTGAGGCGTCTGCATAAGGAGTCTGGGTGAAGAGTATGCATCTTCTTGCATCTTTTCTGTAAGTATGAAATTATAACAAAATCAAAAGTTAAAAAAATTACCAAATCATTTTTAAGAAACTGTAATTTCTCTTTTTCTATTAAGCTATATTTTCATTCTACTTTCTCTACAGACTTCATCTCAATATAATATAGTTTTATACTTAAAAGTCTGTTATTAGTTATCTAATAGGCTACCCTGCAAAAAAAAAAGTATATACATTTAAGTATTTAAAACTTTCTTCTTACCGTAAAAATAATTCTTCATGGCCCTATAATTAAATTAAAATCAGTACACATTAAATATAATTATCAAAAACAACATATATTCCAAATTTTGATGAATAATTATTAAACAGAAAGTAAAATTATATTGGAAATGTATCTTTGGATTCATGTATTTATCGTACTTGTTGCTAGAATGAGACAGGATTTGGCATCAATTTTATTCTTTTTTTCTCATTAAAAAGCACATAAGTGTCCAAAACCATTGTTCATACAGCTAAGTGGATGAGGATGGAAGACATTTTATTTTAACAATGTCCTCCAATTGCTTGAATATCTTTTGCGTTAGAAGCCAAGTCACGTAGTGATCCATCATCAAAAATTATTGTATTAAACTCTCAGCTGACAACTCAGTTTTGCTTTCTATCAGTTTTACTGAAAACAAAAAACTAGAATTGATAGAGTAGGAAAGGGATTTGTTACTCAGTGATGAGGATCATTTCCTCAATACCATGACCAATAGCTAGACTGACCTATTTGTTTGGAGCCCCAAAGGTTTTTCTACCTCAGGGCAATGCACCTTGGGAAGATTAAGCAAGAGTAAAAAGGTCTTCCTTCTGCAGAGTACAAGAATGGTAACTGTGAAGAAGAGATGTAGGAAAAAGAATCTGCTTCAGAGGCATTGTTCTCAGGCGTATGGATCTTGGAAGAGATTTTATCCATGTACCCACATGTGGCTTGTAAAGTCTTTGTGTATCCTGAGGGGTACGTGCATCTTAATTCTAAAGTCACTATTAATACTCCTATTTATTCTAATAGTGTCTAGGATTAATCATTATGCATATCTTTTCCTGAACAAGGCAGGAATCTTAGCACAGTTTATTTCCCTTCTTTCTCTATCTTTACCTGTGCCATCTCCCACATCGAAACTATCTAGTCTACGGCCATGCCACCCTGAACACGCCTGATCTCGTCTGATCTTGGAAGCTAAGCAGGGTCAGGTCTGGTTGTACTTGGATGGGAAACCACCTAGGAATACAAGGTGCCGTAGGCTTTAAAAAAAAGAAAGAAAGAAAGAAATCATCTAGACCAGGACTATCCAATAGAAATATAATGCAAGCCACTTGTGCAATTTAAAATTTTCTGGTAGCTAATTTAAAAAAACAGGTAAAATTAATTTGAAAAAACAGCTTAACTCAAAATATCAAACCTATTATCATTTCAAATATAATCTGTATAAAAAATGATCAATAAGATACTTTATTTTTTTTTTCACACTAAGTCTTCAAATCCAGTGTGTATTTCATGCTTGCAGTACATTTTAATTCAGATGAGCCACATTTCAAGTGCTCAAAGCCTCACATGGTTAGTGGCTACCATATTAGACAGAGCAGTTCTTGAATTTTAGTTTCAGATTGTTACTTGGTTTTGTTTTATATTTTTACATTAACTTTTTTTAAACTTAGTGATCTACTTGTTTCTTATCACTTTCTTGCATTTCACAAAGACTAAGAACTTTGTGTTTTATATATTTTATAGCTCTTATCACAAGTGCCTAGTAAATGTTTTAAAATAGTAATAACATCTGATGCAAGAATTATCAGATTAATCTTACAGAGAGGATATGAAACTTCAAAAGTTTGGACCTGAGTGTTCGAGACTTCACGGATAGCAATCTGTAATAGGTCAAATTACTGTTTCAGCATGATTTTAAATTTATCAAAAAGGTAAAGGTCTTGAAAACAAAACTAGGAGAGTCTATTTCAACATTTCATTTCTACCCCATTAACCAAGACTAAAATGCAATTTACCCACTTTTTCTCTGTTTCAGCATCTTGTGCCTTTTTCACATGGTTATTCATTGACACCTTAATAGGGGCCTCATGTCTTTTGCGTGCCTAAATGATTTAAATTTCTATTAGTTTCACTAGGATTTTTTCACAGTGCCAGACATTTTCTTGGTGTTTACAAATGTTAACTTAATAAATAAAAGGTTGCATGAAAGTTACACAACTTTTCTCCGAACCTCTTACAACTTTCCAAGGTTCTTTAACATTAAGATGTGGTTCTTAACCAGAAGTTACTCCAAAAACTTCTCCCGAAAGGTCTCAGAGCCCGGGAATGAATCTCCCATTCCTAGAGGTACTATTGGACCCGGATAGCCAAAACTGATTGAGCTGAAAAGGAGGCAGGCTTCTTTGTCCTGCAGAGTCTCTGATCACCCACACTTCTTTTCCAATCCACAGAAGCAGCGTGTGCTCAGGGTGCCCTGAGTTAGGCCAGTTCACTTTAAATAAATTGTCACTGGTTTACTTAACTAATTTAGAGGAAGAAAATACACGTTAGGAGACTCATGCCATAGCCCTAGGGATAACAGAAGCCATGCCCCATTTAAAAGGCCTGTATATCGCCTTCCTTTTTCTGCCATCTTGGAGCCTGTGGAGGCTAGCGGAGAACAAGACTTCTAAAACAACAAATATGTCTGGAAGGCTATGGTCCAAGGCCATTTTTGCTGGCTATAAGCGGGGTCTCGGAAACCAGAGGGAACACACTGCTCTTCTTAAAATTGAAGGTGTTTATGTTTGAGATGAGACTGAGTTTTATCTAGGCAAGAGATGTGCTTATGTGCACAAGGCAAACAACAACACGGTGACTCATGGTGGCAAACTGAACAAAACCAGGGTAATCTGGGGAAAGGTAACTCACTCATGCTCATGGAAACAGTGGCATGGTTTGTGCCAAATTCTAAAGCAACCGTCCTGCTCAGGCCATTGGACACAGAATCCATGTAATGCTGTACCCCCTCACGGATTTAAAATTAGTAAATAAAGTGGATTTGTTCTCTTGAAAAATATAAATAAAAAATAAATAAAAATAAAAATAAAAGGCCTGTATATCCAGAGACTGAATTGCTTTAGTTTCTTCTTCCCATCCTGTTTCCTCCCCACCAAAATACAATTGAAGAGCTAATCTGACTTATTAACACAGAAGAATTAGCTAGAACCATTCTATCTTTTCACATTTTGTGTATCTTCCAAACACCAGCACTGAGTTTTACTAATCTTTGTAACCCTAGAACCTAAAAGAGTGCTGAGGACAGAGGAGGCAGTAACTACTTATTAAAGAAAAGTATTGCTTTGTGATTCTAGGGAACTTAACATTTTGTAATTTGCTTTAAAAAAGTGAATATACATGTGTGGGGTGTTTTCTCCGTTTCACTATTCGTATGTCTACATTGCTCCCTAGCTGCTGTCCAGGGAGTCAGTGGCCCTCTGTCAAAAGGAGCCCTCCAGTGGCTCCAACCGCAGGGCCTGGCTGTTTGAGCAGCCTTGAACCTCCCCTCGTTTTTACACGTGTAATATTTTTCTCTTCGTTAAAAATCATAATGTACGCTCAAAGTAAAAAACTTGGAAATGCAAAGAAAAATTAAATTACCATGTATTCCTACACCTATAGTTTTATTAAGCCCTCACCATAAGCTAAACCTAGTTTTAAAATGTGCGATCTCATTTTCTAAAGACTTATTCGCGGAATTTCTTTGCAGGATTTTTTTCTAACCCAAGGCCCGATTGGGCTCTCACGACTTTCGCTCCATTCAGGGCCCGAAGTGGCGCACGACATAAAATCTGTCGGGTAGAGGTAAAAATCTATTATTCTCGGTAAAAAACTACCAGTCTGGAAATTTTTCGGTTTGGAATTAAACGGTCATTCCGGGTGAAAATGCGTCAGCCTAGGGGAGAGAAATACGTTTGTTGAGGAAACTCCGCCTGGCTCTGGACCCTTCCACACGAGCCTCGGGCTCCCCCAGCCCTCCAGGAACGGGGGAACCGCTCAGGAACCAACACCTCGGGTCGCTCCCAGGAAATGCCCCAGCACACTCTACCGGGAACAGCGGCCGCCACGCCGGACGCCCTGGCCCCGCCCCCAGCAGGGCCCGTCTAACCAATGGGCGCCGAGATCGGCTGCGAGTCACGCGACACCGGCCAATCACGAGAGGCCACGACCGTAGAAAGGCTGGGCGCGGCGGGGCTAGGCCGCTCGGCGGCGGCGGTGCGCACTAGCGTAGAGACTCCGAAGCCATGGTGGTGGTGGCACCCGCGCAGAGCCCGGCCGCCGGGGCCCCCAAAGTACTGCTTCTGTCCGGCAAGCCTGCCGCCGCCGCCGCTGCCGTCGGAGCCCCGGCCGGCCGGGCTCTGCCACTCATGTTGCCGGGCCAGCAAGGGGCCAGCCCGGAGGCAGAGAGCGGGGAGCCACCCCAGGCGCGCAAGCGACAGCGCCTCACACACCTGAGCCCCGAGGAGAAGGCGCTGCGGAGGTGGGCGAGGGGCCGGGGTCTGGAACCGGATCTGAAATCCAGACCGGGTGCTGGGTCTGGATCGGGCAGCGCTCAGGCGTCCTTGGCCTGGAGGGTCCGGTGCCAGCGTGGCGCGGAGCGGGGCGGGGCAGGAAGTCTGTACTGACCAGATCCACCACGTTGGGTTGAGTCCAGCGCTTCTTGGGTGGTTTTTTCTTTCTCTTCTATCTCATTAGAGATGTCTAGAATTAGCTATGTGAGCACCTGGGTCCCATGCCCTTTTGCTGTGTGACCACAGATCGGTCGTTCAGCTTTTCTGAACTTGGAATCGATTAGCTGCTTCTTGGTTTAACTACTTTTTTGGAGGGGCAACTGAAATGACAGCTGTTGAAAGAACGGACTGTGAGCCTTGTAAAGCTCACTAGTCTAACTGCGTCTTTAAAATGGTATTTACTTCATACGGTAGTTGAAGAGATTGAGAAAGGCCTAGTACTTAGTCTTCTGTAATATTACTTCTTTTGTGATCAGTATGACTTTTGAACTCATTTAAGTGCCTTTTCTAACAGACATGGCTCTCGCCATCAGGGGACTGCCCAAGATCTCAGCACTAGGGCCGAAGGCATCAACCTCTCCCTTGTTTGAGTTCGGTTTGGAGAGGGAGGGTTTATGACAGCACGATTACAGCCTTCGCTAGATTTAATCAGACCAAGTTGGATTCTGTTTGAGGGAAATGGAGGCAGGAAGCAACGGGGGAGTAGAAAGGGGAGGAGGAAATTTCTTATGATGCAAGATGAATAATGTTTGTGTCCAGCCCTTGTGCCGTGGCTGGAATGAGATTGAGGTGGATGACGCAATTTCGGAGAGAATAAAACAACATGGGAGAGAATAAAACCGGGCTTCAAGCTAGATTGAAAGAAGGCTGTATTTTTTGTTTTGTTTTATTGAGGGGAAGAGCTTGAAGTGTATTTTACCATTACTCTACTTATATCGTAAATTTATATGACAGCACCAGCTGGCCAAGTTTCCAAATAAATATATAATTAATAAGGTTTGAGATGACTCTGTGGTATGTCCCTTCTGTTCTCAGGAAACTGAAAAACAGAGTAGCAGCTCAGACTGCCAGAGACCGAAAGAAAGCTCGAATGAGTGAGCTGGAACAACAAGTAGTAGATCTGGAAGAAGAGGTAAAATACTTAAGGCCAAACTCTTTTCTTTTATCCATTGTATATCCATCCTTCCTTGGTGAATGTTCCAGTATTTGCTGCTCATCCCACGTTGTTTCAGCCCCTTTAGAATGAAATTGAACGTGTAATTAAAAGGTTAAGTTAGGGTAGATAGGTAGTTGATTAAATGGTGAAGCTTGAAGGGAGAAGTGATTGACTCTCTGGCCTGTGGTGCTAGATCTGTTTCAGAGTAGGTAAATCACATTACAACAATGTTTATCAAGTTAGTACTAAGAAATTAGTAAGAGCAGATAGGAAATCATTGCTTAAACTTGAGCCCCTTCCTGGCTTGGCCAAAAGTCCATTAACTGTCCCTTTTCTCTTCCAGGGTCCACCTAATCTTAAATTTTTGCCAGTTATGCATTTTGAGTACATAAGGATTATTTATGTTGGGGTTTTTTTTTGTTTTTGTTTTTTTTTTACATATTTTGATTTTATGGTCCATTTTTATTACCTGCCAGTTCAAGATAGGATTTAACATCTTATCTAAATTAAAGCCTCAAGTCACCCTTTGCTGAGGTCTATATTAGTTGGAGGCATTGTGTTATTCGTGACTCCACGAAATGGCACTCCTTAAATAGCTTATTTTTAGTAATTATGACCTTGCCTTCTAATATTGCTGTGAACAACTGGATAACCATAGTTTTCTCAAAGATCAAGGAGCAGCAAAGGAAATCAATTGTAGTGACATTTCATCAGGTGTATTAAATGAAAGAATCAGATGTTTTACTAGCCTCTTATGAACTTTCTTCTAGAACCAAAAACTTTTGCTAGAAAATCAGCTTTTACGAGAGAAGACTCATGGCCTTGTAGTTGAGAACCAGGAATTAAGACAGCGCTTGGGGATGGATGCCCTGGTTACTGAAGAGGAGACAGAGACCAAGGTAAGTAGCCTTTATTTGGTGCCATATGTGAGAACTGGTTCTAAGTGACGTGACATGACCTCTTTAATGACACTTAATTCAAGTGTGTGGTGGATAGTACCAAATCCTATAATTAAAATGTTACATGACTCTCTAAGAGCAAGTACTAACAAATGCTGATATACCCAACAAGATGTGCCGTCATCAAGAAGAACAAGAATAAGAGAGCCAGTCAAATCTGACTTTAAATGCTACTGAAATTATAGTTCTTTGATTTATGGATTATAGCAAGTTCAGTGACAATGTTTAAGTGGTCCAAGATTGACACTGGGGCAGTTCTGCTCTGTGAAGGTAGTGTTTAGGACAGACTTTAATTATCCAAAAAGATTCTCGGCCTAAATTCACTATAGAGCTTTATTACTTAGAAACATTATTATGGAGAATATTGAGATATTATTTTAAGAATATCAGTCCTACTTGAATCTTTAGGGAATAAAAATATTTCATTGCATAGAAAATCAATGGAAATTTAGTCTTACCTCTCTTTTCTTCTTCTTGAGGGGGACTCAAAAAAATGTAAATAACAAAGGTAAGGGGAAAATTTCAGCTCTGAAGATTACTTTTCTAACTTTCTTGAAAGTTGAGAATCACAACTGCCTGGCGATCATTTCCTTGAGGATTCTCAGCTGTTTTAGCCCTTTATTCACTTTGGTCTTTCCTCTCAGGAGAATGGAGCGAGGCCGGTGGCCGGGTCTGCTGAGTCCGCAGCACTCAGACTACGTGCACCTCTGCAGCAGGTGCAGGCCCAGTTGTCACCCCTCCAGAACATCTCCCCATGGATTCTGACGGTGTTGACTCTTCAGACTCTGAGGTAGGGGTTATTTGAATTTACTGAAGAGCTGCATAACTAGTTAATTCCATATGTTTGATGCCCAGCATCCCTAACCAGACAGATGAGGGCAGAAGTTAGTTTGGGTTGGGTTAGAGGTGAACATTGACTACCTTCCTGTTTCCAGGTGATTTAGGAGATGGAATGAAGTGTAGATAAATAGGTCTGGTAGGGCCCAGAAGTTATCCTATAGCATAATGATTAATTTACATTAGGGAACCTAGTACTAGATGTTCTAGGTAGATTCTCAGATGCATGCTAATAGTTGGACTCCATTTTTTTTGTCTCTTACAGTCTGATATCCTGTTGGGCATTCTGTTCAACTTGGATCCAGTCATGTTCCTCAAATGTCCTTCCCCAGAGTCTACCAGTCTGGAGCAGCTGCCGGAGGTCTACCCAGAAGGACCCAGTTCCTTACCAGCCTCCCCTTCTCCATCATTGGGGACGTCATCAGCCAAGCTGGAAGCCATTAATGAACTGATTCGTTTTGACCATGTATATACCAAACCTCTAGTCTTAGAGATACCCTCTGAGACAGAGAGCCAAGCTAATGTGGTAGTGAAAATTGAGGAAGCACCTTTCAGCCCCTCAGAGAAAGATCACCCTGAATTCACTGTCTCAGTGAAGGAAGAACTTGTGGAAGATGACTTCATTCCAGAGCTGGGTATCCCAGATCTACTTTCATCCAGCCACTGCCTGAAGCCATCTTCTTGCCTACTGGATGCTTATAGTGACTGTAGATATGAGGGATCCCCTTCCCCTTTCAGCGACATGTCCTCTTTGCTTGGTGTAGACCATTCTTGGGAGGACACTTTTGCCAATGAATCTGATTAGTGTTTAAGGAATGATCCAATACTGTCCTTCTCCTTGACTTTTACACTGCCTGGAAGATAGCAAAGAAGCCTGTCTGTGCTTCATTCAAAAAGCCAAAGTGGAGGGTGTATAGTCCTAGAGGATTCCTCTAAAGTATTTGTTCAAACCTCACAGGTCACCTCAAGTATTGTCTTTTGACATTCAGCAGTCCAAGGTACTCATATATTACTATAATCCAGAATTCCAGCTTTTGAGGTACCTTTATCTTAAGGGCAGTAATTTGCCCTAATACTTATATAAGGGACATTGGACAAGGGTCTTAGATGTGGAATTTATGAATGGCCCTTTATCATTTCTCTTCCTCAGCATCCCAGGCTTGCCTCCAATTTTAGGTCTTTAGGTCCTTTAGTTTATTTCTGCAAGCAGAGAGAATACCTACCTGAGGGGGTCTTTTTCCCTCATGTACAGTCAATTAAAGATCACGAATCTTTTGTATAATTATAGAAATTTACTATGTAAATGCTTGATGGAATCTTTCCTTGCTAGTCAAACTCTTGGAAGGTGCTTTCTCCATTTATTTAAAACTACCGTGCAATTAAAAAGTGCAATGCAATTTCTTTGTTGATTCCTTGTTGGGCCTTGTCTTACTGTGTTCTCTGTGCCATAATAGTGATGTATCCAACTTAAATAATGCATGCCATTTTTTAAAATGCCTGAAGGTCTTTTTCCTTTTAATTACTGCTTCAATTCCTGGCTGCCGTGACATAATCTGAGCAGTTAACTATATTCCTGAGTTTCTTCAGCCTAACTGACCAATATCATAGCTAGTAAGTAGCAGAGCTAGAACCCTTAACTACTGTTTTGCTATACCATCTCATGTGAGAGGACATGCCATTAAATATCAAGATTTTCTTGCCATTATTAAAAGGATTAAGAGCATTTTCTAGAATCAAACTCCCAGGGTCCGACTCTGCCACTGGTTTAGCTGTGTAGCCCTAGATATACAATATCATTTGTTTCTTCATCTGTAAATGGGCATAATAGTTAATATCTCAAATGGTTAGAGGACTCAAAAGAGATGGTACAGTGCATTATAAGTACTTAGTGTATGCCAGGCACCATCCCAAGCACTCAAAAGTTACTTATCTTAGTCCACTTTGGAATGATTTTAATTTCTTACAGAATTACATATACTCTAGAACTTGTTTCACAAAAGAATGAACCTGTTAAAGAAAAACCCTAGAGCCACTAATACAACCCCAAACTGGACTTGATAACCTTAACATCCTTCATGGTGCATCTCTTGGGAATTCTCTCTGAAGATATTAAAGGGCTTCCCTTACAGACATTATTTCACCTATGCCAGCATTCAGTAAGACTACCTCTGGAGAAGCTGAAGTGACAAAGTAGACAAAAAGTGGGTGGGATTCAGAGTCCCAAGCAGCAAAGCAAAGCAGGATATAATTTCAACCAAGTACAAGGGAATACCTCTGGGGTAACTAGAGGCATGCCACAAACATACTTGAAGGCAAGACAGCTTTAAGATCCCTGGTCACTGAAGCCAAAGCCCAATCTTAGTGCTTGGCATGCAAGCTTGCTTAGGCTGAGTTTCTGTTATTATACATATAAGGACAGTCTCTAACTGTTCCCATGATTAAAAACATGATCACCTGATTTTCTATAACTGAAAACTTAAGTGCTGACAATCTATTTAGGGATTGTGTAGGCAGATGTAATTACAGATGCATTTTAAGCCTCCATCATAATAGTATAAGCATCTGGCGAATGAAGCTCAAGTAATTTACATTCAATGACATCACATGAAAGAGGCAGCTGTACAAACAGGAATAACACACAGGACATACATAAACTGTAGATTATCAGGGTTTTCATTTCCTGCACAGATGGATGAAAATTACTAAACACTATCCTCAGCCTTGAGAAAACACCTGGTATTCAAGGACATCTTCATACTGAAACACTAAATTGAATGGTTAGAAATAAAAATCAAGACACTTTCCTGCAAAACCGAAACAAGATTTCTATTAAATGCAAAAGGTTGTTCTTAATCGAGATTAAAACAATCAGGTGAAAGATGCGTGCACACTATTTCCCTTGGCTTTGTGATGCCAATCTATGTGTGCTTTTCTAGGTATACTACTAAAGTAGACACAAAGAAGGCACAGAACTGTAGGCAGAAGGTAATACTGCCCACTCCAGGAACATTTTATGGCAGTTAAATTCTAATCTAAGAATTAAATCTTGACCCTGTGAATTCTAATGTTCATTAAGGGTCAGGAAGACTGGCTTGTTTATCCACTAATCAGTTGCTAAAAGACAGTATCTTTATCTTGCTGGGGCTGCAGTCTAACACTGTATTCTAACTACATACATGCAGCTCATCTCTAAAATGCCATTGGCAGAATATTTGAACCAAATTTACATACACAAAACTACATGCCCCCTCAAGGAATTTATTGTTACACTCCCCGAATCACATTTTATTGTATGTAGATTTCAATAAAATCTAAATGGCATTTTAGGTGTTGCTGCAAAAAGACTGTAAAACCACTTGTCAAGTAGGAACACTGGACCTGGTGAGATGGATTATATTAATTTGTCACTACTAAAGTTTTAGTTTCCAAACCTGTAAAACAAATTAGATAACTTTGAGCTGTGATTTCCGAATTTTGGTGAAAAACAGAATATCCTGAGTTTTCTGTAATTGCAACCCAAACTTAACTCCACCTGCCCACAAATCAAGAATACACATTCATCAAACAATGGGTGCTTAAATATGTAGGCAATACTGCCACCCAGTGACCTGTAAACTCTGAAGGAATGACCATGTAACTGCACATCACGCAATTTTATTCCTTAATTTTTAAGGTCCTAAACCTATAAAAACAACAAAACTGTGAACTCTATATACCATTCGTTTCCTACTCCATATTTGAACATTATTTTTGACGACTCAGTCACCACTGCCATTTGAGTACTGGCAATCAATCACCATTGCCAATCAATGCTGTTGACTGACAACAGTAGTGAATTGCTAAGTGGAGTGGAATGCATTCTATGAGTTTTAGAATGGAAAAATACAGTCTGCCTGTTTTGGAAATAGCTAAGTCATTTAAAAAATTTACCTTTAACCTAACATAATCATCTTTGCAGAATAAATTTAAGCCTTTCACTGATATGAATGCTGATTCAAATACAATTTAAAGGAAAGCAAAGTAGCTATTTCATTTACTTAAGTATAGGAATACAAATATCTCAAAAAGTCCAAAACACGAAGTTTTATTGAAAACAATACATAAACACCAGATTCTCATTTTAAAGTAAAATTGACAGCATTTTCCAGAACTTTCTTAGCACTGCACCATTCTTATCACTATTAAAAACAAAACCAAGTTCCAGATCCAAAACAATTAATGAACTTGCTGGTAAACATTCTCATCGTTCTAGTTATTTTTCTAAATTTTATATTTGCACCTTTTCAAAAATGAGATTTTAAAAAATTGACTTTTATGAAAACTGGACTTTCATTTTAATTAAAAAAAAAAAATACACACACCCTACTTAAACTCAGAGAAAATATACATTTGTTCATTAAAGCTCACCTGCTTTAGATACTTTTTTTCTCTTCACACATTAGCATAGAAAGCCAATGTTTGATCCATGCTGAAAAAGCTGTACAAAATGAAAAGACCTCTTATTCCCCTAGGGAAACCTTAAGGCAAAAGCAAAAGCTTTATATTACAAAACAAAGCAGAGGCAAGGGAACTGTGGAGTCGGCTCAGATGAATAAGCACCACAAAGATGAAGACAATTTTTGTACAAACATATGTAAGAAGTTTAAAAAGGAGCATTAAACATCCATTTTCCTGCAGAAATAATTGTTATGCCAGATAGCTTGACTCCTGAAACAAGTTCTATTTGGATTTTAATGAACAGAATCTTAATTCTCTCCTATATTTACCAATGGTATCAATCTTGTTTGGGGGCTCTTCTTTCCTCCTTTTCATCATACAGAGCTTCAATCAGAGGCCTGACCAACAATTCCTATAGAAGACAATCAGTGTGTTTGGGTCCTTTTTGAGAAAGCTGTCACCTCCCCTTCCACCATAACATTGAAACTAACTCCAAATTCTGAGCAGTCACTTCATGTTTTTGAGTTGTACTGGAACAAATTTTTTAGCATGGAGATTTTAGGCTACAAACTTTGCAAGTTGGTCCCATTAAAAACTATCTAAAAGCAGGAGTTTTTCGAACGGCATGAATCAAACACTTACAGATTTCAACAGAATACAGTTTACATTCATCTCTAAATCTGAGATTAAGAAACTATTAGCTGGTTTCCAACTGGTTTCAATACTGGTTTGAAGTTCGATTAATTTTACTGTGTAGACATTAAATATTTTGTTTAAATATTAAACATTACATCTTTTCCTGACTATCCAGACAGAAATAGAGAAAGCAGGAACAAAAGGCAAGAAAACAAACAGTCCAATTAACAGACCTGTGACTTCTACGTCACCTGCTAACAGGGAGGGATTTCAGCATGAGTTTCAAAAATGCCTGGGAGCTGGTTTCTAAAAAGTTACCTCTACTTGGCATAAACCATTTTTTTCCCCTACACAAGGTATCTACTTCTCCTACAAAGGGGGAAGAAACCCAGAAAAAACAAAAAGAACTGAGGTGGTCTCCTGTTGCGTGATGAAAGGGCCAGTATTACACTATTACACCCATTTAATAAGTTATAGTGAATATTCTGTAGCCCTAAAGGAATTGTCATTTTACTTTGCACTACTGAGTCCTTGCCACATAGAAGAGTTCTTCCTGAGAAATAAAAAACTTCAATCCTGGTTATTCCCAAAGGATACCTTGAGGCAGTTTAGGTCCTCAAGATGAAGATCTCCTGCTAGCAGGAAGCTATTCTCTACTAATTTTTAGGCTACTGCACAATAGTTGAAGCACCAGGCAAACTGGCTATTTCAGTAAATTTCAGTGTCGTCTGCCCATATATTCTCAGTTAATTCCTCACTGTTTTCTAAATTAACATTAAAAATTCAATTTGCTAATACAGGTACAATCATTTTTTAACTACAAGTATCAATGCTGGGCTTAGCTGACACAGCACTTCCTCGAGATTACCTAAGGGATGCTTCTCCCACAGACAATTTGCACATAGGTTACCTCAAAATCTTTAAAACTTAACAAAGTTAAGTTGTAAACATTACTGAATAGCTGGGCTTATTAATTATGCAAGGGAAACCAAGGAGCAATAGTAGCACAAGGCAAAAAAGCCTCAAAGGAAAAAGCTTTTCTTTGTATTTTCACTACATTTTCAGAGGCAAGGAGGTGGGCCACAATGCTACTGGCTATTTAATCAATATAGCTACATTGAATTGACAACTAATATACAAGTTTCAGAGTCTCTAGTAAATTTCTTAGCAATAGGCTTTAGCTACTGCTTTTTCCCCACCTTCTCCCCAATTATAAAGTCACTACTGTAAACAGAGCTCATTATCTACAAAGTTGTGACTCAACTGTCTGGGTACAGTTGTACTAGGAGTATCCTTCTTTCTTAATGCATCTTTTTCAAGTGTCTGAGTATGCTCCAAGTATATAAATGGTTTAGACAATGTGACAGATGACCTAAGTCACCCTTACACATAAAGCTTCTATACTTGCCTTTGCAGACTGTAATCTCACATTAATCCCTCTAAAAAAAACAAACAGATTTTCCCTTGAGACAAGCTTCCTTGGCAAAAAGTTGAATTCAAGAAATGGCTACCCAAAATGAGAATCCCACCCCAAATCACAGGCAGAGATATTACACCCATTTCATAAAACTTTCAAGTCCCTATACTATATATGTAGGCTCATGACTGAACACATGAGCCTTCTAAAACTTGACAACTTTAGTATAGAAACATGTTTCTAGAGTTCCATCTCTTCTTCTGTACAAGCAGCTATCTCCAAACTATTGTAAATAGGCATCCCTGTTTGTCGAGGTTCCAAGAACAGTTCAGTTCTCCTAGGGAAGGTAGTGCCAGCAGCGGCATGCTTAGTTTGGCTCTCTCCTGGGTAGTTCTTAGCATTAGATGATGGCTTTGGCTTATCAGAAAGGAGTTCAGGAAGAGGTTTCCAGAGCACAAGCTCCATGGAAGGACGGCTCCTAAGACATAATAAAACAGATTTTTATCAAAAGTTTTAGAAAGTGAAAATAAAAGATATGTGTTGAAAAGCTAATGTCTGCTACCTGATATGCAGAATTATGAATTGATGGCATCAAAACAGATTTATCATAATCTCAATTAATCTTTAGAAAGGCCACTCAAATATATAAAATTTTACAATTCTACATGCACTTTCAACCAAACTAACTGGTTGTACTGATGTTGCAGTAAGAATATAAACGTCCAATGTGAAAAATAGAGGTCCTTGATTTAACATTATCACTTTTAAAATTGTGGTTAATATTAGCAGATGTGGGCTACTATCTTGTACTAAATCATTATAAATGAAAAGGAAACACTGGACAAACACGTTAAAAGTATCTCCGTATGCCCTTTGCTTAGTATAGCTATAAGTATAATGCTTTATGTAGTAAGCCAAAATGATTATGTCCCCAATGCCTGTATCTGCTCCCCCCCACCCAGCCTTCCTCCAGTCACTAATGGTTTGATGGTTTTTGAGACACAAAGGCAAGTAAGGCAAAATAAAACACAAACAACGAAGAATACCTCGAAGTCTGGCTTCTGGAAAATTATCAAGAGTAAGCAGAAAGTGCTATTTTTTAGGCTGGAGAGCACTGTGACCCGCTTACTCTTGACTAAACTATTTATACCCCCTCAAGGCTGGGTAGTTAATTATACGCTCAAGCTAGGGGGCTAAGCAAAATCTCTGCGATCTAACATTAAGCAGCAGCTGAACCGATTTTGGCCAAAGGCGATAATGTCTCATCTACCTAGCATCACTGGGACTGGTGTCCCAAGAGAATTTTTCAGTGATCTGTATCCTCACTATCAAGTCTATTTGAAGTCTTTTCTAGGCAACACCTAAATGGTACTTTATAACTTGCCTACAGCAGATAATGATGACCTGAGATCACACAGGCTCAAGAACTATAAGAATTACAAGGTTATCGTTAGTTCTTAAGTTAATGAGCCCTACACTGCTTTGCTTTTTAGGTTCTTAGGTTTCCTTTCCAGTTTCCTCTCTTGTCCTCACACTATACTTTCACTACTCTCTACTATGAGTTAGTTTGTTATGTTCTCACTAGTTGTTTGTGTTTCTCCTCTGATGATCTAGGAAACCAGAGAACTGAGCTCCTTGAACAGTCTAAATTAGGGGCAAAACAGTCCTTAATGCTAATGGCCTGAGGGGCTATGCCCTGTGAGACAAGTATATGAGCTCTGATTTATAGCCTTTGTGATTACTATTTTGACTGCTGGGAGGCATTTTTTGTTTGTTTCCTGGGTCTCAATGGTGTTCCTGATTAACTGAGAAAGCCAGGTAAACAAGAGGTTTTGAAATGTGGTTCCTACATCTGTTATCTCAAGAATTTAAGAGAATGGGCTCTTTCTTGCCAATCCTCCCATTCCCAAACAGACTATGGAGCATTTCAGGACTTCAAAAGAATCCAGGGATAACTAGGCAAGGCAACCACTCCTGCATACTTCAAACTCATGCTTGCTTATAGGATTTTGCTCATATAAAACCTACTGTGCTTTCTTCACTTGGCTGGTGATCAGGAGATGAAGAGATGGCTAGGATAGGACAGGCAGTGTCTAGAGACACTGAGTTTTCCAAGATCATAATTAAATGGAAACCAAGAATCTAAACTTACATGGACTCAATCATTTTCTTTGTAAAGACTTCATCAAATTCCCTCTTCAAACCTGTTTTCATGGTATCAGAAAGGACAAGACTGGGGAGATGGTTAATATTTCTGTCAGCTTCAACTTCTTCATCTTCGTCAATTATCCTAAATAAAGGCAGCAGAAGCAGAGAAAGAAGAATTTAGTTAAGCTATTCTATATTCTAGTAATTGGACAAAACTTAAAAAATATAAAGGATAAAAGCGATGGGTGCTACATACAACAAAAGGTCAAGTAAAATATGAGGCTATATATGGGTGAAAAAATTACATATAGAAGTTAATATTTCATTTAACAAAGTTTTACATTAAATGCAATCAAATTTGAAGAATCTGTCACTCAAAACTCCCATAAACCAAAAATTAATATTCAGAGATAGTTACTATCAAGTGAAAATGCTCTGTACAGTTCTGTGAGAACTTACTTTAATGTGTATGTTTTGAGTTCCCTGATTTTTATAGTTTCACTGAGAGGCTGAGGATCAAGATATCTAGTGATGAATTAGACTAGCTTAAGAGTAGAGATGTTTCATAGGAAGAGCAACGAGCCAGCTACATACGGTGTCCATTTACCTGTCCTCAATTTCCTGAAGCCTCCTTCTGGCAACTTCACACTGCAGTTCTCCAGTTGTCTGATCCATTTCTTCACAAATAACATCTAACATGGCAGGTGCAGAAAGGCCACTAGTGCATGGATTTACTCCATGACCCTCTATATCCTGATGTGCACAAAGAATCCAGTCATTAGGACCAGCACAGAGCCCTGCTTCAGTTAGCCTTTTCTTTCTTACTGGACAACTGGAAAAAAAAAATTTTAATGAAAATCCTAATATAAATATCATCCCTATCTGTAATCACATTCTTTTAAAAAAAAAAAAAAATTTGGATGGTGTGTGATTACAAGATGAAAAATCATGCATTTTCTTTTCTATCATTTTCACAGCCTCCTTGAGATGTTTTCTACTGTTCTCTGCCAAACTAGGACTTTTCAGATTAGAAGGTTCAGTGTCAGAACTTAAAGTCATTCCTATTTTTTGGCTCTAGATAGTTCAAGTGGGAATAAGGAAACCAGAAATTACAAAGCAGGAACTAAGCACTAGCCATATGGTGTCATACTGCTGCTGTTCCAGCAAACTGGTCATATGGTAAGGTGTTATGCAGGCATCCTCTATTCCCTTACGGCAAAAATATATGCCTTATAAGGTCTGTTCCAAGCACTACAGGTGCTGATGATGTTGCTGATTTCTTGGTCCTCTGCAAAATGTCACACTGTTATCTGGCTATATGAGTTCCTGAAAAATGGGTTGCACTATTCTCTCACTCTGCAACGTAAATGATGCTCACTTTCTAGAAAAACGTATTTCATAGAGACCTTCGAATTCATTAAATCCAATTTCTTTTACAAATTTGGAACCTAAAATAGCAAAAGCATCCCCTCCAAAGTGTCATGTAACAGAGAGATACAAGTTGGGCACCAGACCCCAGAGCTCCTGAATCCTACTTCTGTGCCACTATCATTAAAAACTCCAATCTCTTTAGAAAAGTCCAACTGTTCAAACTCTTACCATGAACAAGTATTTGCTAACACTATGATATACCCAGTTTAGTTGAAAGCTGTTTGAAGCAAGTTAAACAGACAACTGGCCCTGTTCTATTTAAGTATTTAGACCAAAAGTGCTTTATTGACTTGGCATCAGTAAGTGTAATCTCAAGACCAGAATGTAGCTCTGCAAAAAAGACAAAAACAAAAACAAAACTCATAAATGGCTACCACAGCTTCTCATTCTCTAAACTGAAGGTCAAAGGAAGAGGCACAGATTTTACAAGAAGTTTCCATTCCGTGTTAAGACTACAAAAATGAACATTAAAGTCTTTGGTGATATGAAACCTTAAAAGCAATAATGCTCTCCTGAACCTAGATTTTTGATTGAAATCAACAATTAAATGTATTTAGTTATAATTAGTTTTAATTCATAAGAAAGTATAAAGAATGTCTAGCTATATTGGAAATATTTATGTAGTATTTGGATAGTTTTAACATATGTTTTAAAAGAAAAAATTCAGCAAAGAAAAAACTAGCTAAGAAAAGCAGAATAAACATAGAGAAAATAGGTAATTTCCTAGCACATCTAACAATTCAACTATTAAATGCAACTGAGTGTGAATTGGGTCCTGATCTCTGACCACCAGAAGGATTTGTACTAAATTATTTCATGATTGTAGGTCTATTTTGCAAATAAATAGAGATCAATGGTGATTAAGTCCCAAAGAAAATGTGATAGAAAAGACTTCACAGTACTGATAACAGCTACAGAAGTGGAAGCTGGGCATTAGATATGCAAATATCAAGTCCCTCAAATTCTCAGGACCTCAATCTCTTCATATGTAAATTAAATGTGGTTAACTTTTTAAGTCAATAGGTTTTACACTTCAAACTTTTTATTTTCAACACTGGAACCCTTTATTCAATAATCTCAAAAACTTTTTTCTTATAGGGACTCCCCGCCCCCAAAAGATAAAAGCAAAGAGGTTCCTGTGTACCCATAGCAATCCCAAGGCAATAAAGAACACAAATGTCTGGACCAGTAGTTTTTAAACTAAGGCAAATTTCAAATCTACTGTCTTATTAGTTTATGTATCAACAAGGTTAGAAAATCCAAAGTTTCTGCTGACTAAGTAAATAAATCATAAAGTCAAAAGACAAACGACAAATTTGGGGAAAGCATTTACAACACACTTAATAAACTGCTGATTTAACAAAGATTTCTTACAGATAAACAAGAAAAAGACCAGTAAGTCAATAAAAAATTTGCATAAATATCAACAATTCACACAAAATTAAACACACATGGCTTAAATGAAAAGATGTTCACTAAAAATTTACAAAATACAAACTAAATATTAGATACAAACTATAAGCATAAAGTATATCTAGCTATATTATCAAATTTTTTAACTGTAAAATCCTATGCTCATAAAAATACATATAATTTAATGAATAACTGCAAAACAAACACTCATGAAAAATAACCTTCAAGATAAGCTGCTACCATCCCAAAATGGTATTCTAGTCCCTCTTCCCTACAGGTAAACTCTTTTATGGTAATTACTTCCTTTGTAAAAAGAATGTTTATCACATATAGATATGCACTCCTGAACAATGTTTAGTTTTGCCTGGTTTTGAACCTTATATTTAGAGAATTATACTGTATACATTTTACTGTTGAGGGTCATTTGAATTGTTTCCAGTTTTGAGCTATTATGAGCCAGGATGCTATGAACTTCGTATCTCCCGATGTGCTCACGTACATACTCATGAGGGAAACTGGTGGAGGTTGCATGTGCCTTCAATTCATTAGATAATGCCAAACTGTTTCCCAAAGTGCTTGTACCAATTTACATTCTCATCCATAGTGTTTGAGAGTTCCTGATGCTCCATGATCGCTCCAATCAATATCTGGTAGTAGAGGAGTATTTCACTGTGGCTTCAATGTCCACTTCCCTAAAGACTGATGAGGTGAGACATTTTCATTTGGTTGGTCAACTGCACATCCTCTTTAGGGACTTTTTTCACTCATTTTTTTCACAGACTGTCTATGAGATATATATATGTGTATATATATATATATATTTTAACCTATAAGTTAAGTCAAGAAATTTGAAAATACAGTTCTGGTGAGAGGATGGACAAATAGGCATTCCCACTGTTAAAAGTATAAACTGGCAACAACTCTTGTTCAAAATTTAAAATGCATACATTTTAAAACCCAGCAATTCTCCATCTAGAAATCCATTCACCTACCTGCAAATACATAAAAGAACTTAAAAACAATGGTCATGGTAGATTCGTTAGTAATAGTAAAAGACCAGAAATAGCTTAGAAATCCATCAACAGAATGGTTAATTATCTACACCTAGCCTTACAAGAGAATTCGGTTCAACTGTTGAAAAATTACATAGAACTCTATGTGACTATATGCAAGAAGCTACAGGAAAGTAAAATGAAAAGATCAATGTGTTGCAGTGTGAACAGTATCTTCTTACAAATGTAAAAAGCCAGAGGTATATACAATTATAAGATTGCAAGTTTTTAAATTATCTTCCACAGGAGAAACAGGTAACAGGAGTTGCCTCTGGGGAGAATTACGAACATGACGTTGAAGACTCAATATATATCCTTTACACATTTGGTATTCTTTTACTTTGTTCATGTAATAATGTTCACATGGCCCAAAATGCAAACTTTAAATCGGTTGTAGGGTAAAAAGTTTCCAAACTCTGACCTGCCAGCCACCTACTTATTTTCTTTAAAAGGCAACCCATGTTACCAGTTTCTTGTGCCTTTCAGACACTTAGTGTCTCATCTTTTCGCTTAAGTAAGTAGCTGAGGACATAAATTAGGTTAAATTAAGAGACCATAACGTGAAAAAATGGCACCTGAAACTTACTCTTCATCCTCCTGCTCTAGCTTGTGTTTCTTTTTACAGGGAACTGAAACACTGTTGAAACAAATAAAAGTAATCGGTCAATTGAGAAATTTATTGAGCTTGTGCTTTCAGCCTCCATTCTCTTGCTCCAATAAGCTTTCCCGCCCCGCACGAAGCCAGTAGTCCCCGTCATTGCCGAGTGGAATGTATATACAGATCACAGTCAATAAGGAAAATGTTGGGTGGTCATGACCTATCTAAAGATTGAAATCTAAACTTCTCATTCTGTCAGGGTATGGGAGATAAATTTGGGGAGACCCACGTAGGGAAAACGTATTTGGGGTAGGCACTGTGCTAAGAACTTATTTCCAAGATCGCTAGGAGGACCCATTTCTGTCCCACTTTGCATATGATGAGGCTGAGTGTCCGACAAGCACTGAAAACTTGTTCCCATCAGCGGCGGCGCGGTGCCTGGTAGGGGAGCGAGGTGTGTACGCGCCAGGGAGACATCCAGGCTCCACTCGGCCCTGGTTCCAATCCTGGCCCGACCTGGAAGAGCTGGAAAAAGTCTCCTCACTTCCTGAAGGCGCAGGCGGTCCGAGGTCCTAACGGGACTCCCGGGCTGTGCGACCTCCGGCGACTCACTATTAAGGTCTCTGGGGATCAGTTTCCTCATCTGTAAACTAGGGCTGAGAAGCTTCCCCGCGGAGGGTCGCGAGGAGGGAGCCCCCGCCCTGCCCGCACCGCCCGCCTGCCCCGCGCCCGCTGGGC